TTACACGATGTAAAATGGTTTTTTTTTTTTTTTTTTTTTTTTTAAGTTAAAACTTTAAGGGAATACTAGGCCAAAAAACAGGTTGTCTTGCATCACACTGTCTGTCATAATTCAGCTGAAGTGATGCTTCAAGAGCCATGATCTTGGAGGCATGTTTTCCATAGAGTGTTTTCATCTCCTCTTTTCTCTTTAAACCTGGTTGTTCTGTTGGAGCACTAGTGGTAGTATTCAAATGGACTGAGCCAACTGATTTATGAAAAAAAAAGGATGACTAGATTAAAAAGTGGAACAAATTTTCCCAATGTGGGAGATGGTGAAGCCTAATATTTAGTGCACTGTTTTCATGGTCAAGACTTTTGGGCTCTAGAATTGACCATGTCATTGTGCTGTGTTCTTGAGCAAGGCACTCTGTTAACACTCTGAATGGGTGCAATCTTTTTTCTAGCCACCCTTCCCATCTTCTTTTTGCCAGCCTACCTGCATTCCTCCATGCTAATGTGAGTCATTGCTCAATCCTCTGTGAAAACAGGGAGGAAGGACAAACAACTCACCACAACATGCAGGAATGTGAGCAGGTCAACACAAAAAAAGTGAGAATGGTTGTTGGGACAAATTATGGCCCCCTCCATGGGTAAGTGATTTTTTAAGTAATACTCACCAAGCCTCTCACCACCAAAGAATGCAATTGGATTCTAGGAAACTGTCTAAAGCCTGACAAATTATGTGGTAATTACTTTTATTACATCCAATTTGAAATCACATGTAATCCTTGCAATCTGATTGACTCTAACCAGTGCAATTCATTCACAAATTGCAACATTTTATGCTATAAATCGCACCTTATCCCCAGCCAATGAGATAGCTTTACTTGAACGCTACAACCAATCAAATTTCAAGGCTTGTTTAAAGAAATCAATCAAATTGCAGGAAAATGGAAGACACCTTTTGCAATTTTTTTACAAACCAGCACAACATATTGGATCAATAAACTATTGGTAGTGACTACAAAAAACTTGTATTGACTGAATCAATTTTGCAATTTCAAAATAGATGTAATAAAGTGGTAATTGTACTTCATTGGTCTGAAATCATACTTGTAATTGCAAATCAAACTTGCCCTGTGCACATGTTTGATTTTGAAACCATGAATATGATTTCAGACCAAATTGCACTATGTTCAGTTCAATTACCATTATATATCAATTACTGAGCTATTTCCAGAGATGCATGCAATAAAGAAAATGGTTAAAATTCATCAAAATTGTTGAATCTGCTAAACTGATTTCACTTTGACAAATTAGATAAAAAATTAACCAAAATCCTCAAATCTACCATTTCCATTACTGCGGGCATTTCTGCGTTTCTCAACATAAGTGCTATTTCACAAAGTAGGATAAGCTCCAACAGAATGCGCCACTTGGTGCACTTCTTCACTTTGTAGACTTGACATGATGTAATCTTTTACGTGCTTCTATGAATGATCAGTATACACTTACCTTCAATGTAATCATCATTCTCTTCCAATAGTTCTTGCTTCCCTAGTAAATAGCCAGAAAATATGAAATTAAGAAAGAAAGTGCCATATCTCCAGTCACTTCATGCTAAAGAAACCAGAATAAGTTGGATGTTCAATTTGTCTCCTGTGCAGACTTGAATTTTATCATTCTAGTTGGAATGTCTTTTGTCAACCCAGGGATGTAGCTAAAGTTTTTAACTGGCGGGAATCTTGCAATGATAGGCGGGTATTTGGGCCGAAGGCCCACTCTAGCATGCCTTTGGCACACTATACCTAGATTTGAAGGTGTAAACAAATGAAATAAATAAATAACAATCTTCTGACAACATTTAAAAACATTTTGGAAAAAGAAGTAGTGCTTCACAGCTGGAAAAATTGCATTCACAGCCAGGTAATTTTCCCGGCTTCCAACGATTATCTACATCCCTGCAACCAATGTTTCATCATGTTTTGTGCACAGTTTAAAGAGGGGAGGCAATGTGGGAATGGGAAAGAGGCACTGTGGGAGTAGGGGGGAGGTAATGTGGGAGAATACATAGAAGGGAGCCAAAGTGGGAGTAGGGGGAAGGTAATGTAGGAGTAGGGGGGAGGCAACATATTGACAACAAAATTCTTGTCGCAATATCAATACCTTATCCAGCAAAAAGGTAAAACAAAATTGGACAAATATGTAAGCCTAAGTGTCTCATCTTGATTTAAAACAAATTCTCTTTAAAAAAATCATACAAGGACAGGAAAGATCACTAAAGGGGATAGATTTCAAACACATCTTAGAAACCAAAGGAAAACAAAAAACTAACTCTGCTCTCGCTCTTGTCTGTGTCTCTCAGATTGTTCCAAAAACTTCCTGAAGTTTTCATCAACTTCCATTTCAACATCACTGCTCTCATCGCTATCATCATCATCTTCATTGACATCATCAGTACCACAGCCATCATTCACACTGTTACTATATGCACCTTTACTACTACCAGATATAAGATCTCCCTTGAAAATTAAGTCAGGGTGATTTTCACCACCCACTGAATGTTCGCCTTGTGATCGTGGCCATGGTGTTCCACGAAAATAAATTGATTCTGCACAATCTCCGCACGGGTACATTTGACCTTTCCGAGTATCTAATCCACTTTGATTCTGGCAGCATTCACACTCATCTTCCACGATCGCACTCTGCTCCACACACTCACAGTTCTGATCTTGTACCTGAGCATGTAAATTATACAAGTACGTGTTCCACCACCAGAGCGACATTTGATAACAATAGTTTGCATTTACTAAGGCACATGAAGCGAAACCCTCGTTTCTCAAATTAGGATTTTTTCCATTATCATGCTCATGACTGTTTTTATCATCCGGTACATTTGCCATCACTCCTAATGACTACCACGCGAATAAGATGGATGATACTCAAAGTTTGCCTCACATCTCGACCGCCATTTTGACAAAAGCTATTCTTCCTTGGTCTTGTGGGTAATTCGAGTACGCTGTATTCTGGCCAGCGGGTTATACAAACATAAATAAAATGGCCGCTCAGAGTTCACACGTGTGCGACTTTGAAGGATGCGGAAAAACGTTTGGTAAGGAGATCCGACTGGTTGAACACAAGCGGATGCATACGGGGGAGGTATAAAAACTCTTTTTGTTTTCTTTTTTCAAAGAAGATGGTTAAATTACCACAGGATACAGGTAAATCACGCGAATACTTAGCTCGAACAATTGGAACGTTTTGGGTACGTTTCGCCCGCATTAATTAGATCATGAAAACAACCCTGCTGCTTCTTATGTTACTAACGAGAATGTGATGTGTAAAGAAACAATATCTGCCCTTTGATAGTTTCCAGATTCTCAACACCCCCCTATTCACGTTATATTAATACTGTTAGGAGGACTTGTTTCTTTTTTTCTCCTGGGAGTGAAAGGGTTGAGGAGACAATTGCTGGACTATATTGTAAGGGTCTGCTTATTCATGTAAGCCAGTGGCAGATTCTCACCTTACAGTTTTCTAAAAAATATGTATAATTTCAGAGACCATGTGTATGCCCCCATGAAGGATGTGACAAATCATTTGTGAGATCTGTGCATTTAAAAAGGCACTTGTTATCACATGATGGAGAAAAATTATTCAAGTAAGTTCCTAAATTAGAAGTGTGGAATAGGCAAGTGTTGGGAAATCCAAAGACACTTAAATTTTACCAATTAAAATGAAACAATGGTAACTTGTTGGAATTGATATAAGTATACTTAGTTCTGAAACATGAACAGAAGAGTTGTGATAGTTTGAAGGTGAAGTTTTATAGGGGTGAATTGTTTAATGGGTGAACTGGTTTGTTTGTATTCTAAGCAGCATAATGAAACTTTTCTGATGAATCTCAGTAGTAAACCTTATCATAGTCAAAGTGACAGAATGGAAAAAATGTGGTGCTTTGACTGAAAGCCTTTCAAGAAGGGTTGGATTGTAGTGACTGACAGAAGACAAACTTAAATCACTTTTACAAGGTGACAAGCACTGACTTACCATCCCAACCTATGGTTACTTTCTTTGAAGGGAATTTATAATACAGTCACTTGCATTTGAGAATGATAGCAAGGGGAAATATATGTAAATCAAGAGCTACTCACAAGTATAAGTGTTTTGGCTGTCTTAGATGCAGCCAATGTGATATGTTGTTTATAACAAAACACAATTCCAAGCGCCATGAACAGCGGGCTCATAATGGGCCCTTTAAGGTAAGTTGGTATCAAGCTTTGCATTTCAATCATGATGCAGTAGGGAAGCATGCCTCCAATAGTCACCATCTTTTTTTACTGACAGATGTATACTAAGTTATTCCAATTATTTGAAAAACCCTGTTAAAGCATTCTGTAGGTAAGCCCTGTCAACATGAGGAATTTAATTTCATGACAATAATGAGTTGGTGCAATCAGATCTGTACTATACTGGGATAAATCAATTAGACACATGGTAGCAAACAATGTGGGTAATTTCAACACAACTTCATTTCACTAAGCACTCTGGGTGCTTGTACAATTTACTGAGCATTATGGGTATTCAGTACTTCATAAGATCTCAATGTTGCAAATTGATAGTAGTGCAGAGAATGGGTTTAATTCTTCATAGAATGCAAGCTTATCCCAGTCATCTCCTTTTGGCAGATAAGATCTTTGGATTTTTTCCAAGCATTATTTTAGACTTACCTAATAGTTTCTTTTTTTTGCCAGCACTTACTTTATATTTGAAAGTCAAAATGGTTTATACCTATTGCCATAAACTATAAGAGGTTGGGCAATAATTTTTAGGAAATCAAGTAGCTTTCCTCTGAAATTGGTTTTTTTTAATGTTTGTAACATATTTGCTTATGTCTGTTATTTTCTTAGTGCAATGTTGATGGTTGTGATGAACAATTTACAAAGTGTAACCAACTGAAAATTCATCAGCTGGTTCATACTTGTGAAAAGCCCTTTAAGTAAGTAGACCAAATGTCATTTCACAATTTTTTAAGGAAATTTATATTTTTTTGACTTGTGGATGAAAATCAAGTAAGGCAATAATCCTTGCAGGTGGATTACAATTTAAGCAGAAAATTTATTGCAGAAAAGAAGCCTGGAAAAAAAAGGGCTTTTAGGTGACTCAAACCCGTGCCTGCTAGATACCAGTTACTACCCACTTACTTGGCCTAAAAAGCCAGAAGCTGAGTGCAAGGCAAATTTTTTAGAGAGCTCATCTTGCCCATAAAGATGAACCCTGTTAAAGAAAAAAACATTGTGTTGGTGTTATATTCTGTTTTCTAATTATTACATTATTGTTTCAGGTGTAAGGAGCGAGGTTGTTTGGCATGTTTTAATGCTCCAGGGAAACTGAGACGGCACCAAAAACGACATGATGAAGGTAAAGGTATATGTAAGGGCTGTCGTAACCAAAATGCAGAGGTGCAAAACTTTGTTATTTTGTGATTTTTTTTTTATCATTTGTCTTTGAAAGTAGGAATTATCATTTTAAAGTTATGTAAGATCCAAGTATTGAAGTTATCATAGGCTGGAGTATTATGGGTTGATAATTCTCTATTACCCTTGGATCAACACTAGTTCTTCCTCCTTATTCTTATACTTCGGTTGGACACAGTTTTACTGCCTATGGCAACATTTGGTCGTGGGAGCCCTGTTTAAACCTGTATTCCTTTTCAAGGCTCTGATTTCTGCAACTGAGTTACTTTGACACTCTACTTTTGAAGAAAAACTATCTTTGACTGCATTTGTTGTTTTCTTACAGGCTCAGTGCCCTTCTTTCCAAGGTACAGGGATGATGCTTTTGCCCATGACTGGCTGCGGAAACATGTTTGTTCTCACAAATGCATTCTTTTCTGTGAGGGATAAAGTATGCAAATGTCTCTAGTAGGACAATTGTTTGGGTTTAAGGCCTTTGTGGCTTCACAGAGACTTGTACATAGTTTCCTTTGTTGCTCTAGGAAAGCTTTCTCTGAGTGCCTTTCAACAGAATGTGTCAATCAGTACAAAGCTTCAACATCATACCCCCCTCCCTGGGTAACCCCACTGGGTGTTTGAACTTCTGAAGATTGGTTTGTTCAAATTCCCATATTCCTCGTCAAAAAAAAAAAAAAAGACATTTTATTCCATTGGAAGGACTTTACAATTCTGGTTCAAATTCCCTGCCTCACCCGGGTAACATTCAAATACCCCACCCTTGAGAATGCCTTTTTTTTCAAATGTCTACTTCTTGGGCACAGACTATAGTCAAGTGCCTGAGGGAGGCTGGGGGGGGGAGAGGTATGTTGAAGCATTGAATTGATTGGCACAACAAAATCAAGAAAAAAATAAAATTTTAACCTCCAACCAATACCAGTGATTTTTACCATTATGTGGAAAGCTCATTAAAGTGCTGCAATAGTTGTGAGGAATAACACTCTATTCTACTTCCAGGTTTAATTTTATTGTGTGCTGCAATTTGCACATTTCTAATATATTTTGCAAGTTAAAGAGTCACTATTGATATCACTAAAATGTTATATCATGAATTGGGTTCATTTGAGTTCAACAAAACTAAGGGCATTGTAATTCCCAGAGACACCTGCCATTATAAATCATGGTCATTCTGAAAATTTTTATGCTTCATTTAAATTACTTCCCATGGAAATTTTGACTTGTACTATGTACATTTTACTGAATTTCTTCACATGTCAAGTACCCTGTGAGACATTTGTTCCCTATAAGCTATTTTAGAAGCCTGCAGAGGAGGCATAATTTTGGCAAGCAATTGAGTGCTAAGTATTTTCTTGGTGTACTTTATAGCTGCCATCTTTTGATTTTTATGGCAGAAGAAGGCTGGGGAGAGAAAGAAATTTGTATCGAGGGGGTGAATGATGGTCAAAGTGAAAGAAAGGGGAAGGGGAGGGGCTTTTACCCAACCCTCTCCCCCATGGTCTACTCGAACTCTAAAGCAAACATGGCTGGTTGAAGAAATTATTCCAAGCTCATAACAATAACTAGCCTGAATAAGACAGTATAATAAGATGCCAGGTTGTGTTTGACATCTCGTCAAAGATTTGTACATTTGATTATAGTTACAAACTAAGTACAACATTATTATTGAATCATTGTCTTGCAGGGTACTATCAAGGCTCTGTTCTAAGAGCTTCATGTAATTCATGCATTATGGTGTCAGCTAAGATATGCCAGTTTTAAGTTACACTCACAGTTTTGTTTGCTCTGATACTGAATGAGGTATCTGATATTTTATGTTTTCTGCCAATCAGTCTACAAATAACTACAATTATAAATATAATTATAGTTTTATGTATTAACTGTACAGCTGTGTTGTGATTTATTTTTTTCCTAACATTAAAATACCTCTGATTGTGATCATTTTGGCCAAACAATGTAAAAACCAGCATGAAGATTTTAAAATATGGCATTAAGTAGACAAATATGTCTTCAAAAAGTACATTGGTGACAGTTATTCTTACTTATTATAATGTGTACTATAAAATTTCAAATATTTTGTTATCACCAACAAGTTAAGTTCACTAGAAATAAAATGTGAAAGAAGTAAGTCTGTTTTTCTGAGACTAATTCAGCTGGAAGAATTTTTCCCAGTAGATTTAACAGACTCCATTCCTTATTCTCAGTGTCTTGCAATTGGATACTTATCTAGTGAGAACCATGATTTTTCCAATGAATCAGAGGCAATGTGCCAGTTCTTCATAAGACATAGCTATCCTGCCTTAAGCGGGACATCACTGCACCCAACAATTTCATCGACAGTCAAGAGACTGATCGAATTCCATTCACACTCACATTTCATTTTACCCTCGCAATAATTCTAAAAAAGATTTTAACTACTTTAAAATGATCCCGAAACTGGTATTAATAATATTTCTTGTTTTTCATGTTACCATGTTCCATATGGGACATATTATTGAGCCTACGAATATAAATAGGTTTCCAGCGGCTTCCCAAGTGACACGCGAAGCAAAATGGCGGTTGAACTTCCTACTCTTCGTTCGCTGCAAGACTTCGTTACTGACGCCCAGTTTACTGCTCCAACATTTCGCGACAGGGATAGAATGGAGAACAGGATGATCAATAACCTCATATATTATCAGACCAACTACTTCATTTGTGCAATTCTAATTGTCATTGTGGTCGGGTGAGCTAAGTTAATGTGCCTCTCTGCTAATGTGTAATAGGAAAGCTTTACTGAAGTAGTTGACTGTTCAACTCCGGACAATCAACCTTCCAAGGCATTAGGATTTTGCATCTGTACATTTAAGCATATCTCGCTACAATCCCATTAGTATAAAACGAGATGGTAACAAGAACGACTTACTTGGTGGAAGAAAAGAGTGTTTTGAATTGTTGACCCAAAACTGAACGAGACATACCATGTTTCCAGTAACTGTACTCCCTTATGGATGGCCAACCTTCGACACAGTCATTTTTTTGTCGTTGACACCTTTAAAAATTGCAGTAGAGGAGTTCAAAATTCGTTGGCTTCTTTGGATCAGTGGTATTTTCCTTCCGTAAAATTTTTTAAATCAAATGCGTGTTATTAATTAGGACAATAATATCACCATCTGAACAATTTTGTCTCCAAAAAATTATTTTTAAATAAACTTATTAAGACTTTATTACCGTATTTTTAACTTTACCTGAGGCCAGGTTCTGTTATGATCCAAAGCTTTTATTATGTTATGATAACTGCATAAAGTTATTAAACCTGCCCCACTATTTTCCGATTGGTACCCTCCCTCTTTAAGACTTGGTGAACCTTTTACTGAGCTACTAACTGTCTTTTTACAACTTGTACTCAGTCAATGGGACAGTGTAAAGTTGTTTAGAATTAGAGAAACATAGAAGGTTGAAGGCATCAATTACTTCAGTGAGAAAACGTCAATGGTTCTCCTTTCCTCAGGACATTGTATCCAAAGGATTTGATCATTGGTGCTGTCACATTCATTGTTGCCTTTGTGTTATTTGGCATTGCCCAGAGTAAAGAGCCAAGATTTGCACATCTGAAGAGTCAGTATCCCTCCCTGGTACCTATTGCTGTGGTTGCCTTAGCAATGCTTGTTATTTATGCCCTGGGATCCACACTGGTATTCATCGGGGGGGTGACATTGCCAATAGCAGGTAGGATTTCACTGACCCTTTGACCCCTAAGAGTGATTAGCATCTAATTTCTCCTTACAATATCACCCCTGAATGACAAATTGATGTCATAAGAATAAAGGAAATGATCACCAACTAAAAAAGCTCTTGGTTTTTAAACAAATTCTCCTTATCTGCATCTTATGAATTTATAGAGAACAATGTGGAGAAAATCAGAAGAAGACTTAAAGGAGTACTGAAAATAATTTTCATATCTCAAAGCTGCTTGAGCAGGATGTGCCAAAGATATCTTTTGGTGCATTACTTGGAGACAGCACTATCTATCAGGACTATCTTGAGGAACAGATTTTTTTTTCCTCTGAGGAATATTGTTAGTTTTTAAAGGAACTACTATGCTGTGTGAGTTGGCAAGTGAATCACCAACAGAAATATCAATTAGCTAGGAGTTGACAAAGATAGATAGACATCTATAACAGGAAAACATTAGCTTTTCAGAATTCACTGTGGCTAGCTAACTTACTCTGTCAACTATAGCTTAAGCTAAGGAAGGGAACTAGAAATTTTTTAGAACATAAACCCTTTCAGAGGCCTTATATGGCTTAACCCTTTCTTAGACCCTGCAGTCATTATTCACACATGGAAACTCTCATTCAATTTCTTTCTTCTCTTTTGGCAGTAATTCTTCTTCATGCAGCAACAAGGAAGCGAAACATAAAAAACAAATTTGCCAATACAGTGGAGCTGTTTAAGGAAGATGTCACACCCATGACTATCTTGCTCTCAAAGATATGTTCCACCAAAGAAGAAATGAGATGAATGAGAAATTTACTATAATTTTTAAAAAAATTCACTTCTAGTACAGTGGTTTTTATATCAAAAAGGAATGTATCAAATTGGTATTTTTGATGCTAGTGGCATGAGTCATTTTTTGCATATGAACAGTTAGTAGTAAGCTGCAATTTACGAGAAAAGAAACAGTTTAAGGTGGATTACCCCTCCTTCAAAAATGAAAAATTTTTGCATTTGACCTGATCAGTCTTAGGAATGCCACATACAGACAGATACAAGATAGAAGGAGCCTGTAGGGGTACGTAACATAATTTGAAAGAAGTAAAGTCATACTTTTAAAATCAGTTACAGAGTCAAATTATTTCAAAGTGCAGTCACAAAATTTATCATCTAATTATACCCAGGTCTATTTTTTGATGTGTAAAAAAACGCGAATGGATTCAATATTTTGATTAATATTGAGAGATTTTCTCTCTAAACAATACGACTTGTCATAGAGAAGGTTAGCATCTGTTAGACTGGGAATCCAGAAAAAGTTGTCCATAAGCATTTAAGCCTGAAGTGTGAATTCGTTTCTCAGGCTTAACATTCAGCGGTTACTTTGTTTGCAGTTTAGTGGTTTGCCAATGGAGATAAATTTTGTTTTTCGTCAATATCGTTTTTTCCTTTTCTTGCCTGTAACCTTTCAAACGCGTTGATTATCGTTAAGGCCACAATAGAGAAGAAGGGCCCAATATCGAGATAAGCAGATGAAATCTCAGTTTCACAGGCGACGAGCCTTGCAAAGCTCTTTCCTTCTTGCCCTGGTGTCTTAGCTTTGTAGTTATTGTAAAACGACGTAATCGCTACAATTAAGTAAAGCCCATTCTTGATTGGAAAAGATTGGTGTTCAGTGTTCATTTCAATGAGTACTTTTATCTGCATATTTCGCTGCGCACATTTTAATTTCAAAAGAGACCAGAAGTGAGTCTTGACGTGTATAGCTATAGCTCCAAAGAGTCTTGTGTCTCGGCCATAATCATACCCAGAGAACAAGAGAAGCTAGTAACCTGAATTTTGGAGGCCAGGAGCAAAGTTGGCACTCTGAAGCAATGGTCACAGCTGAAGCATGTTTGTCAACTTTTCCTTCGTCCTTCCCCTTTCCCGGTCCGGTCGCATATCTCATTCGCTTTTTCATTTCCATGCATATTTTTCGCACATCTCCTAGTCTAGCAATCTACCAGCCCTAGTTCAACGGAGGGAATTGTTAAAGGTCGAGACGAAAAAAAAAAAAACAAGGAAAAAACAAGACAAAACACTGTTTGTTCACCAAGTTTGTTTTAATCTATACGTGTAAGAAAACAACTGATAATTACTTTGGAACAATTGCATAGATTTTTGGAGTTGTTATGTTTCATTTTACTGCCAAGAAACAACTCATAAGTACCATTCCTGTCAACTTTATCAAGAACATTTGAAACAAAATTGACTTTCGTGAGTCATATGTCGCCTAACAGAACGCCAAGTAACGACATATGAAACTGCCTGTGACATTCAGTTTTGATTTTTTAAAAACTAAACTCTGTGTATACAATTCAAATGTTACAATATGAATATAGACCTCTGTCAGACGTTTCGCAGTTCCCGTTTGGTTTTTCACAGTCACTTAAAACGCTTATTATGGACACTTGGCAAAGAAGTCGTTCTGAGCAGCTACGAAAAGTAACGTTGGTCAAAGAAGAAATGTCCATTTTGACGCTCTCTTCCCGGTATGTTGATAGGTTGTTGTTGTCGTTAGAGTTTGCTTAGTTCATCAGATTTCTGATCTCCTTGTGCATCTGGCAAAGGAAGTCCACATAGCTATGAGCCACTGGGTTAACACCTTTGTCTTCCACCAAGAAATGTTTGAACCATCCTTCGAGCTTGTCGCGTTGTCGTACGACGGTTAACTGAGGAGACAAAGAAAAAAACAAAGGATTATTACATAATTCATGATTTATACCTCTTACAAAACCACGATCGAGGACCGTACTGTAAGTTACGGACCGAGTTTTTCCGCTCGGATCCGAAAGGAAAAATAGAGAGTGAAGATTGCAATTCAAACACTCTTTTGAATTTAGCGGGTCGTACAATGTAATATGGCCTACCACATTTACCGCACGTACTAACTGAAAGTTATAATAAAGACTGAGATCAACCGTTTTCTCAGGATTCGTTGCACTTCGTCCACAGTGACTTACAGACGTCCATTACGGATGAACTTTACGAACAAACGCAACAGTTACAATCGTACCTTGAGGTAATGCTGTCTCTGGTTCTGAATCAGTCGAATGATTTCATTTAAGCGAGTAGAGAGAGGATTATCAAGGACTGGAAGTGAAGTCTGGTGACAAAAATAGTAATACAACACTAATGAGGTTGAAATAGTTAGACTTAAGAATGTAGTATTAATCATAGCTTTAATCAAAATAATAACTGTAAAGTGGTCTCAAAATCTTGCCTTACTGACCGTGTATCGGAACTTTTTCTATTTCTGTTTACGTGCAAAACTGTGAATCCTCCCTACTTAAAATGCATCGAATCTTGTAAAAGAATCCGTTAATCTATGGTTAGCTTATTTGTTCTTTTCTTTTTTTTTTTCTTTTTTTAATTTTTGAAGCTTTTTATCTGATATTGTAAGTCGTGCGATGCCATCACTTCATAATTATTGAACTATGAAATCATTGACCGTTGCTCACCTAAAGTCAAGAAACTTTAATTATTTACCATTTCAATGTCGACTTGTCCAATTGTTTGAACTCCAAAAACTTGGTGGAGCCAGTTGGGGTCAACTTGAAGTCCAATCCACAAAAACAGGGATATTCCATTTTCTATGTAAACATAAAACGGTTAACACATTAATGGTTTAAAAGGGGTTCCAATTTCCCTGCATGGAACCAGTTGGTCGTCTTTCCGTACCTTACAGTGGTTACACTTCTCTGGTTTTTAATATCAAGCGCTGGACATTGGCTGCAAAGCTTTCAAAGGCTTCACACCTAAGTGCACGTTTTCCGGTACCTTATGATGGTTGCAATGTACATCAAGTTTACATCCAGTTGCAAATTCTCCCGCGCAACAGACTGACGAGCACTTCACTCGCCTTTGGCTTCATGTGCATGTTTTCCCGGAAAGGCCAACAGCAGTCGCATTCTTTACTTTATGATTCTGACAGCACTATTTTCGTTTGTACCAATCGCGACTGACCAAGAACAATACAAAAATGGGGGATAGGAATCTGTTCATCCCTCACGTCGAGTCAAGTCCGCGCGACCCGGCCAATACCTCCCTCGTCTTTTAACCCTTTAACTCCCATTAGTGACTAAGACAGAATTTCTCCTCATTATATCAATACAATATCCAACAGACAAGTGATGGGAATAAATAAAAATATCACTTCAGGATTATTAGTTGATCCAATACCAGATTCTCTGAACTAACATCATAAGAATTGTACAACAGACAGTAAGGAGAATTAATAATGAGATCTTGGGAGTGAAAAGGTTAATCTTCCGCTTCCGTCGCGCCGTTTCCTATTTCGCGGCGTTTTACAGACTGAATGCCTAAAACAGGCTGGTAACCATGAATACTGGTGTACCATGTCGGCCATTACTTGGTAAAATAACTCACCCAGCAGGTAAACACCATTCTCTGACATTCGATCAGCAGAACATCTGATCACTGCCGGTAGACCCGACGACTCCTCTTTCAGATCATGCTGAAGGAAAAAAAAAATCAAGTTTCAGAATTACAAAAATAACTATAAAAATAAATGAAATACTTTATATGAAAGCTACAACTTTAATTTCAGCTTGTTACGCGATGCTTATGCCCTTGAAAGTTAACGAAGAGGTTCGTTGTGTAAGGTGAGTAGAAGCACTTCGTTAACCGGTCAATAGCATAGCACGAGCAGGATTTTTCAATTAGGAGGGGGGGGTGGGGGTGAGAAAGAAGCAGAACGCTTTCTACGTTCTGAGACAATAGATTCTTACCAATGCAAAAAGTCTTGGATAGAAGTAAGGTACAGATGCAGCCTGATCCATTGACATGACCGTTCTCATCAACCAACTACGGTCATCAGAACTCATCTCTGAACCTTTGAAGAAATAATAACATACGAATTGCTTTATATTTCGCTTCTGTTCTGTAAACTTTCAAAACAAATTTGCAGCATATGAAACTAATCATATCGATATCCTAGAGTAACAAATGACAACAAAAGCGTCTTTCTACATAACAACACTGCATGTGTTTCAACTGCGGTCTTGAGACTGATGTTGTCCAATGGCTTTTGAGAAAGTTCAAATTCCAAGTACAACTCCACACCAGAAATTGTACGAAAAACAAAGAGCAAATTTTAACAATTTTACATGATAAAAACTTACCTCCTAGGAGAATGTCATTCTTTAAAATACAGTTCGTATAAAGCGGCAAGAGTTTCATACACTCTGGAAGTATCAACTGAAATAAACAAATTCAACTCGTTCAATAAGTAGGACGGCTATCGAAACAAAAATCGTACGAACAAAGTACGGCCAAAACTCATAATTACAACGGTTGGTCTAATGACGTGGCACAAACACATATCTAAACGCGTTTGAAGGAATAACAGCCAACTGACTGGCTGACTGACGAACTGCCTGTCTGCCTGAATGCCAGGTTTACCCATTTTCGTTCCTACTTCTTGAACTCGGTTAAAAGTGTAAAAACTATACCGTAATTCCACTAACAGAAAACGTACAAAACGAGTCCTACCTGACCAGCAGATGACGGTGAAGCACAGTTTCTTCTGTAACAGGCCAAGATCTGTGCACATTGATTCATCAGGTTTTCTCTGATCGCTTTGGGCGTCGACGTGTATACTTCTCTGATCGCTGGATGTAAGAAAGACAAATTCAGTTCTTAATTGTGCGGAGAGCTGAAAGTAACTACAAGTAATGAAGCGAATCAATCGTTTGGTATTGTCACGCAGTGCAATCTCCTCTCTAACCCGAGAGGTGAACGCGTTGCGTGACAAGACCAAACAAGGCTTACGATGTTGGGGTAACTATTCCTGCAGGAGGAGAAAACCTTTTCTAACGACAATCTAAAGTTACTTTTTGCACTAGTCAGATTTCCACAAAATGCATGGTTTGATCATATTTCTTTGATTCAGGATGAACTGAATAAGATGTAATACATTAACCACCTTGTTTTGATGCAACATTGACGAAGGTATCCATCTCACAACAACGGAATAAATCTGATAACTGCGTACAGGTAGAGAAGGCCAAGTTGTGAATTCTTAAACGCCGCTGCCCACTGACAGATGTATAGAGTAACGCACACT